TCTTTCATCCACCACCCATGTTCTGGTCGCACCAGATCGATGAGGACATCCCACAATTGCACCATTGTTGATAATCTCTAACAATACCAGTTTTACGAGATTTTTGTTATTAATAACAACAACACTTCAAGTTAATACATAGATATTCATAAGCAACATGCAAGGATTCAGAATATACGTTTACCTGATTATTCTGCTTGTAGTGTTATATGAAAGTAGAAGCAGAAAACTAGTATTTATGGATACTCCACAAACCTAGGTGTATCCATATATATTCATTTTCCCGCCTCGTTCCTCGAAAATTCTCATTATAGCATTATTTTCGCATTAACTAGCCATCACCTCCGAATATATCATGCATACGTCAGGCGGCAGCGAAAATATCATGTCTCCTCATTTACTACTAAACCCACGGTCATCTGATATTGCTAACAGCTCACTTTACTTTATTTGTTTGTCCATATTCACTTCATTCACTACGACAACCATGCGCGGTCGATGGCACGATATGTAATTAATTGAAGCAAAAAATTTCTTTTTGGCATCCTTTAGCTAATTCCTTCAAGCGCATAAATCTCTTGTTGTTTTCTTAATAAAACCTCCAAACATAGCTATGCACCTCTTTATCCCTATAATTTTACGTTTAATTGTTCCCGGTTTTTGCTTATTGGGAGTGATATAGATTCTCCTTGTTATTAAGTTAGTTGTCACATAAAATCTGTATATCGTTTCAGATAAAATTCATTTTAATGATAATTCAATGAAATATCTATAAAATTCAATGACATGCTATGTGAACTACTATATATTATATTCATTTAGAGTTTGAACAATATTCGTAGGCAAATGAACATGAATTTATTACTGGATCCTCATTTCCACTATATAATACGACTGTAGCATTTCATGAATTTTGACTCTTAGCATAACAGAAGTATGGATCATGTGTAGCATTCATTGTAACCCAATGCATTTGAGCCATGGTATGAATTGGATGTATTCAATGTGTGCTTCTCTTCTAATAGTTTAGATGTGTTCAAATATTTAGTTTTTTTTATTGAATGTTACATTGATGTGTACATATGCATATATAATCTATAATTCATGTTGATTCACATTTAGTTTTGTTAGGAAACTGTAATGATCGTGCAGAGCTATTTCTTGCTTCTCCACAAGGTCTTCCATGAGTTTTAGCTTATATATTTATTTAGTTTATTATTGAGATCTATTTTTTTGCAGTCTAATATTTGATAAATTTAGGTTTGAAACTTATAAGATTCGTGTTGTCGCATTATTTTTCACTGTTTTTTTTTTGTGAGCTTTCTGCATGTTTTGATTTGAATATTTTAGCTATATATACCAATTTGTGTTTGATTCATAACCATGTTATAATTTATTATTTAAATAAAATTTCAGAATGTGTTATTCATATGTTATTAATGTTGGTTTAGATATAAGTAGTAGCTATATATATAAATCAGACTTTTCACTTGTCAAATTTAATTGACTCACATACATTTCAATAATTTTAACTTAGACTGTAATCTCTATATACCTTGATTTATATTAACTATTACATAACCCGTTAAAAAGAAATTGAGTATGAAAAGGTGAAAAACAAATTTAGATCATTACGAACATTAAAAATTAAGATTGAGAACATTTTCGCAAAACCACTTGTGGATTCAAAAAACTATTTTTCTCATTGTTCCATGTTTACTTTTATATTTTTCACAAATATGACTAACATGAAAATGTAAAAAATAAAATTAGATCATTGCAAACATTAAAAAAACAAAATTAAGAATATTTTCGCAAAAATACTTAGAATAGAACTGATTAAAAAAACTGGTTTTCTTCTTCATTCCATGTTTAATTTTATAATTTTTACAAATATGAATGAACATGAAAAAATATAAAACAAATTTAGATCACTGTGAAAATCAATTAATAAGATTGGGGACATTTTCACAAAACCATTTATAGTAAAACTGATTAAAGAAACTGGCTTTGTTTTTCATTCTTTATTTACTTTTTTATTTTTCACAATATGATTTTTCTCTAACAAATTTTCATCGAGAATCTCATTTGATAAAATGATATAAGAGCAAAATTGGCTTTCTCCTTCATTTTGCTTCTGCAATTCTGATTGTTTTTCGTCGCTATATTAGGTATTCATCTTATCCAATTGATTCTAGTTTAAGAGAAAAATCAGCCTAGAAAAATTATAAATGATTTTATGTATTTATAAAGATGTGAGTAAAAATTTTCTTTTTTTTTAGGGTTAGACTTTATTGTTTTTTAACTATTTTTCCGTTTTTTAGTTAATATATATATATATCCTTTTTAGATATTATAGTAGTTATATATATATATATATATATTAGTAATTATGAAATTTCCTAAATTTATGTTTTATTTTTAGTTTAATCGCGACATGTGTCAAAAACTTAATCGAAAAATTTGACATATGTCACGATCGTGTGAATTACTTACATATAAAATTTGATACATATTTCAAAAAAAAATTGGCTTTCTTTTTTATTTTGCTTCCTCAAAGTAAAAAACAAAAAGATCATTGTGAACATTAAAAATTAAGACTGAGAACATTTTCGCAAAACCACTTATTGATTGAATGGCTTTCTCATTTGTTTCATGTTTACTTTTATAGTTTTCACAAATATGACTAACATGAAAAAATAAAATATAAAATTAGATCATTGTAAACATTAAAAAGTAAAATTGTGAACATTTTTGCAAAACCACTTATAATAGAACTGATTAAAAAACTGGCTTTCTTCTTTATTACATGTTTACTTTAATATTTTTTATAAATATGAATGAACATGAAAAAATATAAAACAAATTTAGATCACTGTGAACATAAGAAAAAAATAAGATTGGAAATATTTTCGTAAGACCATTTATAATAAAATTGGTTAAAGAAACTGGCTTTCTCTTTTATTCCTTATTTACTTTTATATTTTTTACAATATGATATTTTTTCTAACAAATTCTCATCAAGAATCCCATTTGATAAAATGATATTAGAGCAAAATTGGTTTTCTCCTTCATTTTGTTTATGCAATTTTGATTATTTTTCGTCGTTTCATAAGTTATTCATCTTATCTAATTGATTCTAGTTTGAGAAAAGAATCAGCCTAGAAAAATTATAAAGAGTTTTATGTGTTTATAAAGATGTGAGTAATAATGTTTTTTTTCTTTTAGGATTAGTCTTTATTTGTTTTAAAAATATTTTCCGTTTTTAGTTGAAATATATATATGTATATATATATATATTAATATATTCCTTTTTAGATATTGTAGAATTTATATTTTTTTAATAATTATGATATTTATTAAATTTATATTTTATTTTTAATTTAATCGCTACACGTGTCAAAAACTTAATCAAAAATTAGTTTTCTCATTTATTTTGCTTCCTCAATTCTGATTGTTTTATCGATTCATCAGTTTCTCATCTTATTAATTTGATTTGAATCTAAAAAAAATAGCTTATGAAAATTATAAAAGATTTTATATGTTTCTAAAGATGTGAGTAATATTTTCTTTTTTCCTTTTAGGATTAGGTTTTACCTTTTTGAAAAAAAAACCTGTTCTTAATTGAAATATATTACTATCATTATTTAATTTATTTCTTTTTCTTTTAGATATTGTAGTTGTTATATTTTCTTTTTTTTTTACAATTGTGATATATCCTAAAGTTATATTTATTTTTAATTTAATTGTGACACGTGTCAAAATCTGAATCGAATGATTTACCACATGTCACGATCATATGAATTACTAACTTTGATGCATCTAACTTTATATAAGAAGATAGATTAATTTTTAATTATATGTTTAAAAAAAACTTAACAATATATCTGCACAAAAATACAATGATTTAGTTAGAATAAGATATGTTTAGTTCTAATAAGTAGTAAGTTGGTCCAACTCAAATATAAATTACAGATACCTTCAAGCTAAATAACAATTATATCTTAACATTTAAAAAATAATTATATAAAATTAATTGATAAAAATAGAAGAACTTATGAAAACCAATTAAAAGATTAAAAAGACTATGGTAAAAACATCTTGTGTGACAACTTTTTATTGTCGTCTAAAGAGAACAGATTAGAAAACTTGATTTTGAAAAAATAGTCATTCATTTTTTAGAAAACAAATTAGTCACATTGTGAATTATTTTTTGTGTTTAATGTTTTATTTTATTTTTTGTCATATTAAAATATTTATTATAGTAAACATTTTTTAGTTAATTCTTATATTTATATACTTTTTCTAATTTTTTGTATAGCCTACGGCATTTATTAACCTTGGCACGGCTCTGCCAACATTTAACCACTCGTTAGTTTGTTGTGCCAACATCTAACCACTTGTTAGTTTGTTCGTTTCCAATTGAATATGTAATAAACAATTTAAATACATTTGGCCAAATTTTCAAATAGTAGTATCATGAGCAGCGCCTTGATCCGCAAGCTCTACCATAAGGACGAGAAGAAATGTTGGGAGAAACTTAAATTGAGAAAATATATAACAAAATATGGTTAGGAAAGTGTAAATTGATCCCCAAAAAGAAAAAGGTTTAGAGGTGCAACTCGCTAATATATGATGTATTCATGGATAATGAGTTAAAAATAGTGGGATGTATTCAGAAGAAAATTTTAAAAACTGTAAGTGGATCACACCACCTCAACAATCAAGAATTGTTTTTATAATTGGACTAAAATCAACTCATGAGTTATGTCCCTTTGTAAACCTATATGTTGTGTGGCCTAAAGCATGCATCTGGAGATAGTTGATATGGCTTGGAGAGACCCGGCCAAGACTGACTCTTGCAAATGTTCATCAGAGGGAAAGAATAACTTTATAAGATAAATCTACTGCAACTATCTTAATTCAGTTGACTTAAGATTTTTGGCAAGAATCAGCTGATTAAGTACTGTTACATTCAGGGAAGCTAAAAAGAGAAAAAGTCCTAGTAAAAATATAAAACATCAGTTTAATTAAAGAGAAACACAAACACAGAAGTTTTTTTTTTGAACATTTGCTTTACAACACAGAAGTTAACAGGAGCATGCAACAAAACTAAAGAAAACTGAAGCAAAGATGTTTTGTATATATCTCAGGTTGAAACATCTTTAGGAACTTGTTCATTATCACCTTGGATATTTCTGTATTTGTAAAACCAAGAGCAGACAAGGAAATAGACAAAGTTCAAGATTCCTACAATGACTAAAAGCCAGTAAACATTGTCAACTCTTCCATGGTTAATGTCATCAGGTAACCACTTGGTGGTCTTCTGCATCAGATCGATAAGAGCTGTGCTCATATAGAAAGAGATTCCAATTACCAGTGAGGTCAATGAAGTCGCTGTATTCTTCAGAGACTCAGGAAACTCTCCATAGAAAAACTGAATATTCCCTGGAAATTGGAAGGCCTCGCCTATTCCCATTATCACAAGAGGAGGAAACAGCCATAACACTGACATGGGATGCTCATTTTCAACTGTTTTCAGCCTCTTTGCTTCCACAGCTGCGGATATTGACATGCTTAGGATGGTGAAAACATGACCTATACCGACTTTTTGAAGCGGTGTCAGAGGCTTATGGGTTAGCTTGTGGCACAAGGGATAGACAAACCAGTTGTTCATTATGATAAAGATGGATGCTGAGATGAGTATTATGACTTGGAGTGACCCGGCGGGGACTTTGAAGTGAAGGCCAAGCCCACGATCCGTAAGTAGAGCTTGGAGTACCATCAAGCTTGTTTGCATCACCATGGGAGTACTAACAAAGATTATGGATAGCCACAGAGGAAGAACTCGGAGAATGGCTTTGAAATCTTCAACTTCTTGAACAGAGCATAGCCTCCATGTGCTATTAACCGAGTCGTCTTTGGTTTTCAACGCTGCACGATTCAAGAACCTGTCACATGTAAAGCTTTTTCAGTTCTTGATTGAGTTTCAAGAATCAGGCAAGCTTTATTATTTTCACCTGAAGCTCTTGGAGGGCATTGCATCAGAAATCTCGGTCTCTATTTCAAGTCCACTGTGATAGTCTTCTTGTTTTGAAGAAACCACAGCCTTTCTTTTCACTGTAGCAGCGACTGCAACGCGGATCAGGCTAGTAAAGGGACTTCCCATGGGTTTGTCATGCCTGTAGAGTTTCTTCCCGTAGACGAAAACAATGAAACTTACCAAATTAGCAACGGCACAGAGGCCAAACCCTAGCTTCCAGCTAGCATTGTCCTGTGTGTATACAATAGCTGTCGCGCCAGTAATCGCTCCTGCATATAGACTTAGGAAGTACAAGTTGAAAAAGCTTCCTTGATCTTTAGGTTTCTCGTATTGGTTTGCACCCGCGGATGCCAAAGTGAACCTCGTGCCACCTGCTCCAGTGGTCACTAGAGCCAAGGCTGCATACAAGATCCCGAGCTGAAGTTTCGATGGAGACTGGCATAGGATTGACCCCGTTTCACACTGTCTAGGTCTCAAGTAGTCCAAAGATGAGATCAGAGTCAAGAGAAGGATACCCTGAAAACGTTTTTGAGTTTGGTAAGTTTTGTATCAAGAAGAAAGAAGAGAATCAATGAGCCTTGGACTTACAATCAGAGAAATGAAAGCAGAGGCAGAGATGACTGGTATGTTTCCAAAGAAAGAATCAGCTAAAATGGCTGCAACAAGAGGCAAGATGCTGAGACATCCATTGGCAACATTCGAAATCTGAGCAGCAGCGATGTTCTTGATGTTGAATTCCTCGATCAAGAAGACGATTAAGTTCATTACCCATCCGAAAGAAGTTATGGATAGACCTAACAATGTAACTGCACCACATAGAACCAGCCACAATCATTAACATCTGTATATGTCTTGGCTTCAAAGAAACATAGACAACAACAACAAAAAAAAGACCCAAAGACACAAACCAATCATGAACGGAAAAGTGATCCAGCCACCGCGCTTTCCGTTTGGATAGCCAGAGCGTTGTGCTTCCGTGTCACTCAAGACTGAACCAGCCATGACAGAGAACAAGAGGAAACAGAGTTACTTCGACTTGTGTTATTTGTGATGATGCAGTCAGATAAAATCCCTAAGACTCTATATAGGCGCAAATGCAGAACAAATTATGTTGGTGCAATGATTTAATAATGATTTTCTTTGGTCCCAAAACTACCTAATCATGTTCCTGACATTCCATCTACTGCTGTCGTTTCCCCAAAGTCAAGTTGGTGAATGTAATAACCACCTAAAAAAAGGAATTGGTCAGATCTTCAATAGAAGAATCCAACTATTCATCATAATCCACTTTGAATAATCAATTAATATATTCAATAAGTCACGAGACTCACGACCACGGAGTTTTTTCAAGATCCTTTTTGTCCATTATAGAGCACTGAGGAGTTACTTTCACATCACATTGTGTATGATTGATAAATAAATAAAAAATTCTTTAAACTATAGTATAAATAAGGAAATAAAAAATTCTTTAAACTATAGTATAAATAAGGAAATGCAGAGCAATTTTTTTGCTATTGATATAATAATTTTTCCCCCAATAATAATACCTAACCCACTTTTTGGCATTTATCCTTTTTAATTTGTGATCTATTTTCACAATCATCGTCTGTTGTTGTCAAACATTTGGTTGGTGCCTCCACAAGGAGTATGATTCTTGCAAATGTGAATCTGAGGGAAAAGATACTTAAAATGAAATGTACTGTAAGTAACCTAATTCAGTGGACACATAATTTTGATTAGAATTAGATTTGTTAGTATATTGCATCAGGGAGTTTAAACATAAGAAATTTATCCACACACTCAAGTTAACGGAACTACAACAATAAGCGATGAAGTATATATATATATATTTAGTTTTAATTTTGGATTAGTAAATAAGAGAATTAAAATATATACTTTATATATTTTGTATTGTAAAGTTGTATTGGCGATAACAAGTGCATATCACGGCATATCTACGATTCATATCTTTAGAATATACATATATGCTAAGTATGCCTTATTTGTATAGCAGCAGAATATCTCGTACATTAATCACGAGACATTAGGTTGATTGTATCTTTGTATTTATACCTCGGGTTCATCCTATGAATACACAGAATTCTCTTGAGTTTTACATGGTATCAGAGCATAGATCCATTTAAACGATCTTGCTCATTTCTTTTTTCTTTTTGTTCATCTCCGTCTAAACCTTACGTGATAAGGAAGCTATGGCTGACATGAAATCTGTGGGAACACTCGTGAGTGGAGAGAAATCAGGATCGAACGTGGGAGTATCGCCATACTCGATCTTCTCTTCCGACAATCCCGGTTCGATGATCACGGCGGTTCAACTCAAGGGCGACAACTACAACGAGTGGGCAACAGAGATGTTGAACGCTTTACAAGCAAAAAGGAAGACGGGTTTCATTGAGGGTCGTTGAAGAAGCCAGTTGAAGATCATCCAGATCTGGAATCTTGGCTTAGCGTGAATTCCATGATTGTCGGGTGGCTACGGACTTCGATTGAACCCTGTGTACGTTCGACGGTGACGTTTATTACCGACGCTCACAAGTTGTGGGAGAATCTAAGGGAGCGTTTCTCTGTTGGGAACAAGGTGCGTGTGCATCAGTTAATGGCCAAGTTGGCATCGTGTCGTCAAGAGGGTCAAGCAGTGATTGACTACTATGGACGACTAGCGAAGATGTGGGAGGAATTGCAGACATACAAACCACCACCGGCATGTACGTGTGCAGCGGCAGGAGTCTACGAGAAGGAGAGAGAGGATGAAAGTGTTCATCAGTTTGTAATGGGGCTTGATGAATCAAGGTTTGGGCACATCATGACTGCAATTATAGAAGCAAATGTGCTACCAGATCTGGGAAAGGTGTACTCGAAAGTGATACGTGAAGAGGATCGTTTGAACTCAGCTAGAGCTCGTGAACAGCAACAAGAAGCTGTGGGTTTTCTGACACGGCGAGAAACACAACAATATCCCGCTCAGTTTTTACAACAAGGAGGTGGAAACAGAGCCCGCAATAGAAGTTGTTCACACTGTGGAAGAAACGGTCACGACAAGAGTACATGTTGGCAACTCGTGGGGTTCCCTGAATGGTATGCAGAACGTGGTGGTCGAGGAGGTCGTGGTGCGAACAGAGGAGGTGGTCGTGGCACCTTTTCTGGAAACAACAGAGGAAGAGGACAAGCGAATGTGGTGTATGCATCAAGTCCTCAAGCAACAGTGACACCAGATTTAACTCCGGAACAGTGGAAAGCCATTTCACAAATCCTAAGTGAAAAATCTGGCGGTACTTCAGACAAATCTGGTGATGTGATTCTTGATACAGGAGCTTCACACCACATGACTGGAGACATATCTCTTCTTGTTGAACTTAAAGATTCGTCTCCGTGTTCAATCTGTTTTGCGGATGCTAGTACGACTCAGTCTTCTAAAGTGGGCGTGTTACACTTGACAGAGCGTATATCATTGCGTGATGTATTATTTGTGCCGGATCTTAATTGCTCGTTGATTTCAGTTTCAAAACTTTTGAAGTATGCAAATTTCTTTGCATTATTTACAGATACAATATATGTTTTACAGGACCGGTTTACGAGAACGCTGATTGGAGCCGGTGAAGAACGTGATGGGGTATACTACTTTACGGATGTGAACGTGGCTCGTGTGAACATGACAGTTGGGAGTGCTGATGAAGTCTTGTGGCATCAGCGACTAGGACATCCTGCTTTTTCGGTTCTATCGTCTTTACCATTTATTTCTGGTAATTCCGTTACTGCTAGCTCTAGGTCTTGTGACATTTGTTTTCGAGCTAAACAAACTAGAGAGATGTTTTCTGATAGTTTGAATAAAACGACAGAGTGCTTTGCTTTAATCCATATCGATGTTTGGCGACCATATCGAATTTCAGCTTCCAATGGAGCAGTGTATTTCTTAACGATTGTGGATGACTATTCACGTGCTGTTTGGACACATTTGTTGCTTGAGACATCTGAGGTTAGGAACGTAATGCAGAATTTTTGTGCATACTCAGAAAAATAATTTGGAAAATCAATTAAAGTGGTCAGGAGCGATAATGGAACCGAGTTTATGTGCTTGTCTAAATTTTTCCGAGAGAAAAGAATTGTTCATGAGACGTCGTGTATAGGAACACCACAACAGAATGGTAGAGTAGAAAGAAAACACCGGCATATCTTGGATGTTGCTCGTTCTTTGTTGTTTCAAGGGGGTTTGCCAACTAAGTTCTGGGGAGAAGCAATCTTGACTGCAGCACACGTTATCAACGTCACGCCATCAAAGGTACTTCATGGTCAATGTCCGTACGAAGTGTTGTTTGGGCAACAACCATCTTATGATCGTTTGAAAGTATTTGGGTCGTTGTGTTATGCACATAAACATGATAAAGATAAATTTGTTTCTCGAAGTAGGCGCTGCATCTTCGTTGGGTATCCCTTTGGTAAAAAGGGATGGAAGCTGTATGATTTGGAGACTGAAGAATTCTTTGTGTCACAAGACGTGATCTTTAAGGAATCAGAATTTCCTCTTGCCATTTCAGAGTTCATGGAGTCGTCTCCTCCCGTGAACATGGAGAGTATAGATGAGGATTGGTTAATACATCTTTTGGGGAATACAGAAAACAGGGGGAGCAGCCCTAACATTGTTGATTTAGGGGATTCACGTTCAGATGTAGACAACGCCTCTGAAACAGAGTCATCGGAAGATCCCGGTTCTCCGGCAGACATTGACGATGCGATCTTAGAGGTTGGACCTGTATTAGAACCAGTTGCCGAGGAGGATTCTGAAGCTTCAACTGATCAAAATATGGGAAGAGGCTGTCGAGAAAAACTGAAGTCAGTGAAGCTCAAAGGGTTTATTACCTACAACACCATCTGTAAAGACATTATCCATCACGTTCCATCCGAATCTCTTAGCGCTTCTCTTGACTCGGTCCAAGGTAATTCACTATATCCTCTCACTGATTTTATCACTGATGAGCACTGCTAGCCATAGAGCTTTTCTCGCAGCTGTAACCAGTAACGTTGAACCATGAAGCTTTCGTGAGGCCATGGAAGATGAGCGATGGAGGAATGCAATGGGAACCGAAGTGCATTGGCTCGAAGATCTTAAAACTTGGAGCATCGTTGATCTTCCTCCGGGAAAAGTAGCCCTCGGTACAATGTGGGTGTATAAGATTAAGTATCGTTCTGATGGGACACTGGAACGGTATAAAGCGAGATTGGTGGTACTTGGGAATCGTCAAATAGAAGGGACAGATTATGAAGAAACATTTACGCCCGTGGTTAAGATGACAACTGTGAGAAGTTTACTGTGCATAATCGCAAGCAATAATTGGGAGGTACACCAAATGGATGTACACAACGCTTTTCTACATGGAGATTTACAAGAAGAGGTTTATATCAAGCTTCCTCAAGGTTTCACTCACCCGGATCCAAACAAGGTGTGCAGGTTGCACAAGTCACTTTATGGACTTCGTCAAGCACCTCGTTGTTGGTACGAAAAACTCACTATGGCTCTCACCGAAGCCGGTTTTGTTCAATCCTACGCTGATTACTCTCTTTTTTTCTTATTCACGTGGTGATGTTGAGATGCGAGTACTCATATACGTTGATGACTTGGTGATTTGTGGAAATGATAATGCTGCAATTGTGAAATTTAAAGAGTATCTTAGGCGTTGTTTTCACATGAAAGACTTAGGAAAGCTCAAGTATTTTCTTGGTATTGAGATTGCCCGTGGTGAAGAAGGGTTCATGTTAACACAACGCAAGTATGCGTTAGATATTGTGGCTGAAACAGGCCTACTTGGGTGCAAGCCAGCCCTTACTCCAATGGAGCAGAATCATCATTTGGGGGCGGATGAGAGTGATTACATGTCTGAACCTGCGAGATATAGAAGATTAGTTGGTCGGCTTATCTATCTCGCAAACACGAGACCTGATATTTGCTATTCAGTACACATACTTTCTCAGTTTATGCAGAAGCCACGGGAGCGCCATTGGGATGCAGCCCTCCGTGTAGTAAGGTTTCTCAAAGGGACAGCAGGTCAAGGGATTTTGCTTCGGTCTGATTCTAATCTTCAGCTTTCAGTCTATTGCGATGCTGATTGGGCCGCTTGTCCCATAACTCGACGTTCTTTAACTGCCTATGTTGCGTTACTTGGAGGGTCTCCCATCTCGTGGAAAACAAAGAAGCAAGATGTGGTTTCTCACTCTTCTGCAGAGGCTGAGTACAGAGCAATGTCTGTTGCTACTCGGGAGATTAAATGGCTTCGACAATTGCTTACAGACTTGGGGTTCCCGCAGTCCAAACCTGCTTAATTATTTTGCGATAGTAAGTCTGCCATTCACATTGCCGCGAACCCCGTTTTTCACGAAGTGAATTGTCATCGTGTTCGTGATGCAATTAAAGAGGGAGTGATCACAACAATCCATGTGCGCACAACTGAACAACTAGCGGATGTTCTGACAAAGGCATTGGGCAAAGTTCAATTCAATGTCTTGATGCCCAAGTTGGGCGTGTGCAATCTACACAGTCCAACTTGAGGGGGAGTATTGACGATAACAAATGCATATCACAGTATATCTACGATTCATATCTTTAGAATATACATATATGCTAAATATGCCTTATTTGTATAGCAGCAGAATATCTCATACATTAATCACGAGACATTAGGTTGATTGTATCTTTGTATATATACCTCGGGTTCATCCCATGAATACACATAATTCTCTTGAGTTTTACAAATTGGAATAACTTGGTGTAAAATATAAGAAAATGACACACATCACACTATATATCTTGATTATTTAGTTATGAATCTTTTTGGTACTAAAACTTTTGTTATTTCGCAATGGTTTACGAATTCTACGTATGCTTATAGACTACAAAAATTAGTTTAAAACTTTGATTTATTAATCAAATTTAGTTATTAATCTTAGTTTTTTTTGTTTTGTTGGGTTAAAATTTGTTCTACAAGTTGTTATGGTCATGCTAGTGATCATCAAAGTTGAAGCATCTGGTTTTGTATCTCTAAAACCATAGAGTAAACTAATGCCTTTACAAATCGCTTTTGATAAGGATATCAATTGTTTTAATTTGCCTTGTCTGAGTAGTCTCAATGGAATCGATTCCCTTGAAGTATTCCAACTTTCAGTTGAGCGTCAATATGAATAGGAATAAAGTATATATTTAAATGGTTTAGCACCATTAGTTTTTTTTAGCAACATCCTTAAGAGGCTTCATCTTATATTCCTCTAGATGTCTAAAATAAAAATTGCCATAAAAAAATCATCTATTGACTATCAGTTTGATGAGTAAAGGTTATGTGGTTTGAGCTATGGTCATGCGGTTTAGCTAACCAAACAAAACAGAACCGGTTATAGAGAAATCCATGATTGGCTCCGGTTAAGAAGAGTAAACCAGCCAGTCAGTTGTTTTTTTGGGTATTACCATTAAATGGCCAAAGAATAGTAGTCAATTAAGTAAACAACAAAAAGTATATAAAGATGCAAGCATGTAAATAATTAACCTTCTATTTAACATATTTTACCCCTCACATCCCTCATTCGCTTACTTGGTTTTTTAAAATTATTTTATTTTTTCTCAATTAAAAATGATACTCATGTTATTCCATTGAATATTATTTGATTACAATAATTGTTTATCTTGTCATTATCTATTTGTAATAATTATTTATTGATATTAGACTATTTCACATATTGTTTTTTCTGGGATCAATCTTCTTTCTCTTTTCTTCTATGACCACCACGAAACACCAATTCCTCAGGTTTGAAATTTTGATTTGAGTTTTCTTAACTTGTTTCAGATTATCGACTATAGAGATCTCAGCAATTCGATGTTCTAAATGTTATATATTGTGGATTTAAAGATCTTACTGATTCATCTTCACCATCACTTGTATCTTTTTTTTTCTTATCATCGTCTACATATCTATTTCACATATTATACAATTCAATATTATTCTATAAATATATATATATATATATTATACTAGATATCTATATATATATATATATTACTCAAATGCAGTCTATAAATAAAAATAAATATGTATATATTTTATTAAACATCTATATATATATAATTATTTCATAATTTGGTATTATTCTATAAAAAATATATATATATATATATATTTATCATATTAAACATGTACATATATATACATATATTTTAATATAGAGAGCTGCGTATTCTCTATCGGTGTGTTTAATCATCAATCTTTGCTTTTGTATGTTGTATCTTGGTAATGGTTCTATTTCATTTGGAAGACAGCTTTTGTTCGTAGTTTATAATATAAATTTACTATATAAGCATTGTAATTATTTCTATTTCTATTGGTAGACCTTAAAATTAACACTCAATATCAGAATTGTTAAACATAGATATTTAACTTACAAAATGTCTACAAATATAAAATGTTCATAAAGAAGACATATATAATACGATTTAGCACTCAGTGTACAACATAGGATGTTCACATTATAATTTATGCATTCATTCATAAATATAGAGATACATAAAGTAAAGTAGACATTTATTATACAACATAACACTCTATAATTATCATAAGATATATATTAACATTAGATGTTCATATCGATGAAATAATTTGAACATAATTAAGGATTGACTCGCAAATCGTCGAAAAATAAACAAATAAATATATATATATAAACTTATCTTAAACACCAATTTAGATGTCATTTAAAGTTTGCACCAAATTATACAACCAGATAATCAACTCCACTGATGCTTCCATGTGTGGTTATAATTTCTCTAAAATGCTTATTGAAGCATTACTTTTTCGCATTAACTATCCATCACTTCCGTGTACATCATGCATACGTCATGCGACGGGTCAAATATCATATCTCCTCATTTATTTCAAAACTCACGTGCATAAAATGGCAGTGAACTTTATACATTTAGTACAACACCCACACGCATAAGATAACACCATATATAATTAGATGAAGCGGTTTTCTTTTTCGGCATCTTTTAGCCAATTCTTTCTAGCACCGAAGTCTCTTGTTATTTTCGGCCATCCACCTCTTTATCCTTTTTTTTTTTAGTTTATTTGAAACATTAGTGGTAAATTGGTAAATACAGAACAACTCAAAGGAAAGTTATGTACATTTCACATTTGTATTTCTCTTCACTCACAAAGGATTTATATGATCCTTTTGTGTCACAAGAGACTGAACCAAACATAGCACAGAGAAAGTTTGGTTAATTTCCCGTTGTGTGAGATAAACAGAAAGAAAGAGAGAGAAATAGTTTCCAAGAACAGAAGTAGAAATGCAGATGATTTGAACAAAGAACATGTAGGATCATGAGGGAGATACATCAACATCTTTCTCATGATCATCATCCTTGAGGTTTCTGTATCTATAAACCCAAGAACACACAAGAAAATAGCCAAGATTCAAGACTCCTCCTATGACTAAAACCCAGTACACATTATCAACTCTTCCGTAATTAATATCATCTGGTAACCACTCAGTGGTCCTCTGAATCAAATCGATTATAGCAGAACTTGTGTAGAAACATATCCCAATCACCACCGAAGTAATCGATGTCGCTGTGCTCCTCATTGACTCCGGAAACTCTTGATAGCACAGAGCTACATTCCCTGGGAAATGAAAGGCCTCTCCTGCATAACCACAAGAACATGATAAGTTTGATCTCAGCTCGAGTCCAATGAATGATCCATAATCAAAATCTCTTACCGATTCCAACTATGACTAGAGGAGGGAATAGCCACAAGGCAGACATGTCAGCAACAGATGATGATTCAAGAAAACGACCATCCTCTACTATCTTCAATCTCTTTACCTCAACTAAAGCAGCCAAGGCCATGCTTAGAATGTTGAAAACATGGCCTATTCCCACCCTTTGAAGCGGCGTTGGGAACTTTCCGGTTAGCTTTCTGTAAAACGGGTAGAGAAACCGATCGTTGACTATGATAAACAGGCAAGTGGAGAGAAGTGTTACGACTTGGAGAGAGCCTGCAGGGATCTTGAATGTAGAACCAAGCCTCCGGTCCATGACCAGACCGTGAAGAACCGTTAGGCTTAGCTGAATCGCGATTGGAGTGCTCAAGAATATAATAGCTAACGCAAGAGGGATGATTCTGATGACTGCTTTGAAATCTTCCACTTGCTTAACGCTGCATAGTCTCCATAAACTGCGAACCGTACCGTCTGGTTTAACATCATCTTCTTGTTTCAACGCTGCGCGGTTAAAGAACCTGAAACTCTTTGTGGGCGTTGCGGCTGACTCACGGTGGTGGTAGTCTTTCTCGTTGGTGGAAACCACAGCTTTTCTTTTGTGTACTGCGGCGAAAACGACGCGGAGCAGACTTGTGAAGGGACTTCCCAAGGGCTTGTCATGGTTGTAAAATCGTTTACCGGAGATAAAAACCACCAAGCCTAAGATATTAGCAGCCGCGCAGAGACCGAACCCGAAACTCCAGCTGATGTTTTCTTCGGCGTAGACAACGGCGGTTGTACTCATAGCGGCGGTTAAGTACCATGTGAAAAAAAAACCAGTTGAAAAAGCTGCCTTGGTCTTTAGTTTTCTCAAACTGGTTCGCACCAGCGGTTGCTAAAGTGAACCTCCACCCACCTGCTCCCACAGATGCTAGAGTAATGGCCGTGTAAAGAACTCCGAGCTGAGTATTCGACAGGGGTTGACATAGGCTTGAAGCTTTTTCGCAGGGCTTAGGTCTTAGAGAGTCGAGCGATACGGTTAGAGTCAGCAGAAAAACTCCCTGATCAAGAAGAGTGGATATTGGTTAGTTTCTGTTTCAAAACAGAGTATAACAGAGGAAATAGCAGAGTAATAACTTTACCATTAGAGAAATGAAAGCGGAAACTGAGATAACAGGAATGGTTCCGAAGAAAGAGTCAGATGCAATGGCTCCAAGCACTGGAAACATGAAGATACAACCATTGACGATGTTGGCAACCTGAGCAGCCGCGATGCTCTTCATGTTGAATTCCTCAATGAGGAAGACGATCAAGTTGGATAACCAACCCAAAACAGATATTGACAGGAAGAACAACGTAGCTGCACCATACAAAGCAAAGCTGTTTGAGTATGTAACTTCTCTTCTTCTATGGTTTAAAAGCAGAGAACAAAAAAAAAAAAAAAAAATCTCTTTACCTATCATAAACGGAAAGGTGATCCAACCTCCTCCCCGGCGGTGTTTGGTGCTAGAATCTGCTGACGTCCGTGCTTCTGCATCGTTGAGAACTGAAACAGCCATATTTAGAAAATGCAGAAGTTTTCAACAATGGCTAGAAATACTATAAGCAAATTTATACGAGAATGATTGAAGATGATGATGGGTTTTCTAAGGTCCACCATATTCTATTTTCCAGGAGCAGACTCTTCTCAAAAGAATTATTAAGAAACTCAAAACGTGTGTTGCTGTGAGTTAAGACATCTCTGTCAGTTCCTAACAACCTGTGTGAAGGCAAACTCCTAACATTGGAGAAGTCAACTAAACTTGTTTGTCCTGTAAGAGGATATATTAAATAAAGACCCAATTGTCTATTATTGCTAAGATTTTTGATCATACATCAGTATAACAAGTAGTCTATTATTATTTTAGTTGTGTTTTCTTGGGTTTATTGAAAGCTTTCTCTATCTCAAGATCCGTTGTCTTTGTTTAATCTTAATCTTGATCTTAGTGTCACCCTATATTTTTGTGGTCAGAAGAAAGAAGATGAGTGCGTTTTGAAGAAACTGATGAATCAGAGGGATAATTGATTTATCTTAAAGTGATTAAGCCTATTCTCAATGTCCTGCATGCTCTAGGTTCTGATATTCAATATAAGCAAGCATATCTGAAAATTAATAGTATATGGATTAGTCACAAGAATACTCTTAATTATGTAGCCTTTGTTGTTTGGGGGTTGATTTGCTTGTATATGATCTTAGAAGACAGCAGACAGCTGTATGCATCTCCTATGTCTCTATTTACTTCAGTCTTGTAGAATTCTCATACCATTACTCACATTGAAGTTCTTGGGTCCTCACTAACCTTATTTTGTAAAAGTGTCCTGAGACTGAGATTGATCAAAGTTGAAGTATCTTGAGAGTGATTTGTGGGGTTAATATGATCATCAAAGTTGAGACTGTTGCAGAGAGATAGAGAGAGAGTTTTATGAGGAACACAAATAAAAAAAAAACTTAACAATGGCTACAAATTAGAGATACTTTGAGACAAAACTCTCCCTTTACAGAACAGTAGAAGATAATAACAAAGAACATGTTCTCTCTCTCTCTCTCTCTGTCTTCAGCTAATACGATCATGAGGACAAAGTAGTGGAGTGAGAGACAGCAACATCTCGCTCATGATCATCATCCTTGAGGTTTCTGAATCTGTAAAGCCAAGAACACACAAGAAAATAGACAAGATTCAAGACTCCTCCTATGACTAAAACCCAGTACACATTATCAACTCTTCCATGGTTTATATCATCTGGTAACCACTCAGTGGTCCTCTGAATCAGATCGATTATAGCAGTGCTCGTGTAGAAACATATCCCAATCACCACCGAAGTAATCGATGTCGCTGTGCTCCTCATCGACTCTGGAAATTCTTGATAGCACAGAGCTACATTCCCTGGGAAATGAAAAGCCTCTCCTGCAAACCAAAAGACAAAACCAAGAACATGAACGGTTTGATGTCAATTCTTATCTGATAGATTTGTCTGAGAATCATTTCCTTACCGATTCCAACTATTACCAGAGGAGGAAATAGCCATAAGACAGACATGTCAGCAATAGATGATGACTCAAGAAAATGACCGTTCTCTACTATCTTTAATCGCTTTGCTTCGACTATTGCAGTCACGGCCATGCTTAGAATGTTGAAAACGTGGCCTATCCCGACTCGTTGGAGCGGTGTGAGGAACTTTCCGGTTAGCTTTCTGTAAAACGGGTAGAGAAACCGATCGTTGACTATGATAAACAGGCAAGTGGAGAGAAGTGTAATGACTTGGAGAGAGCCTGCAGGGATCTTGAAGTTAGAACCAAGCCTCCTGTCCATGACCAGACCTTGAAGAACTGTTAAGCTTAGCTGCGTTGCGATTGGAGTGCTCAAGAAGATAGTGGCTAAGGCAAGAGGGATGATTCTTATGACTGCTTTGAAATCTTCAACTTGTTGAACGCTGCATAGTCTCCACTGGTTGCGAATTGTGCCGTCTGGCTTAACTTCGTCTTCTTGTTTCATCGCTGCACGGTTAAAGAACCTGCGTGTTTGAGAAGAAAAAAAGCATCATTACAATGGCCTCTCACTCTCAATGGCCAATGCTAAAATGAAATTTCGGTTCTCAAGTTTTCTACCTCAAACTCTTTGTGGGAACTGCTGTTAAATCATTGTGGTAATCTTTCTCGTTGGTGGAGACCACAGCTTTTCTTTTGAGTACTGCAGCGACGACGACGCAGAGTAGACTTGTGAAGGGACTTCCTAAAGGTTTGTCATGTTTGTAGAATCTTCTCCCCAAGATGAAAACCAAAAAGCTAAAGAGATTAGCAGCTACGCACAGACCAAACCCGAAGGTCCAGCTGATGTTGTCTTCAGAGTAGACAATGGCTGTTGCACTTATAGCTCCGGCTAGATACGTTGTGAAGAAAAACCAGTTGAAAAAACTGCCTTGGTCTTCAGCTTTTTCGTACTGGTTCGCACCAGCGGTTGCTAAAGTGAATCGTGTTCCACCTGTTCCTATAGAGCCTAGAGTTATGGCCGTGTAAAGGACACCGAGCTGGATCTTTGAAGGTGATTGGCATAGGCTTGAAGCTGTTTCACATGGTGTTGGTCTCAAGGAGTCAAGAGAAGCGGTTAGAGTCAGCAGAGCTACGCCCTGAATCAATGAGTAGAAAATTTGTGAGTTCTTGTGTCAGAGAAGATTGATGAAAACAATTAAGAGTCTTTTTAAAACTTTACCATAAGAGAAATGAAAGCTGAAACTGAGATAACAGGGATGGTTCCAAAGAAAGAGTCAGCAGCAATGGCTCCAATGGCTGGGACCATACAGATACAACCACTAACAATGTTTGAAATCTGAGCCGCTGCGATGCTCTTCACGTTGAATTCCTCAATCAGGTAGACGATCAAGTTAAGTAACCAACCCCACGCAGCTATCGTCAGGCCTAACAACGTAGCTGCACCATAGAAAGATATAGCTTAAGTTTCTTCTTCTCTAAGCTCTAATGGTTTTGAGAATGATGAAAACAGAGAAACAGAGTCTCTCACCTATCATAAACGGAAAGGTGATCCAACCACCACCACGGCGTTTGGATGTTGATTCTTCTGGCATTGGTGTTTCTGCATCGCCGGAAACTGAACCAGCCATGTCTCAAAACCAAGTAGATAGATATCTTTTACTTTGTTTGTCAACAATGGCCTGAAATTCTGAAAGATATGTAAAAGCTATGATATTTTATTCTCCACGAGAAGCAGCCTCCAACAAGAAAACGTTAATAATAAAAACACAATGCGTTTCCTTTGATGTGAGTTGATCCATCATTGTCAGCTTCGAACAGCCTGTATGAAGACAAACATCTTTGTCCATTCTAACTTTTTATAAGTCAACTCTAAATTGTCCGGCAAAGGATAATACTAAAGAAAGACCCATTTGCCAAACTAGATATGTACTCCAATAATGCAAGTAGCTACATAGAGCCAAGCCATCAAAGTTATCTTGCAAGTGACTGAATGAGAGAATAGACTACTACTCACTGGGACGAGCTTTGACTCTAGTTCTAGCTCTATAATAGCTCTCACTATTCGTTAGAATCAGGAAACTCCTGGCTTGATTACTGTACATTACAAAACTATATTCTTTTCTTCTGTTTGTTTACTAGAAAAGACTCTGAAGTATGTGAAGGCAAAAAGTTGAGGAAAATGATTTCATAGCTAGAGTGCTTTACATAAAGAGCTACATTCAAAATCACTAGCCAGTAATAAAAGCATGAACAAACAAATAGGATTACAAGATTACATGTGTAGAAGTACATGAATAAAAGAACAGGCAAAGATACTACTAAGCAGCGAGTCGGATGGATATTTTGGTAATACCGGGCATTCACGTGGCTGCTGCTGCTCTTCTTCTAAGCATAAGTTGGATTGAGTGCAATGGCTTCCTTGTAGATCATCTCTTTGATCTGTTCCTCATCTAAAGGCTGTTGTTCGAACTCGAAAGAGAATGGCTTTAGACAGATTGGCTCATCATTTGGATCGTGCAATTTCGCAAGGTACTGATGATTCAAAGCTTCTTCAACTACACACACAAAACGAAAGTGTTTTTTAGTTATGAATCAAACCATATAATTAGATGATAAGAAAGCAAACAGAGAACATGTGTATATAACACTTACCAGTGATTCTTCTGTTGGGATCAAACGTCAACATTCTGTCAACTAAATCTATGGCCAATGGGTTAACATGAGAGAAAAGTTTCGCTAAAGGCTGGCGAGGGAAAGTGGGAAGTTGCCTGATGTATCTTTTCGCGTCTTCGTTGTGTGTAAACCCAAGATCGGATTCCGTAGGCGTGCCAAGCAACTGCAAGATTCACACACATCCTATCACATACTCCCCAAAAAGGTAGAATCTTGAATCCATCCGGTGCTAAAAAGTATAATACTTTACCTCTGTTAACAAGCGCATTTGATGGACATGGTCTTTACCAGGGAACAAAGGCTTTCTGTTCATGAGCTCCATGAAGATACAACCAACAGACCAAACATCTATAGCAGCTGTGTAGTCTGAGGAGTTCAACAGAAGCTCAGGCGCTCTGTACCATCTCGTGACAACGTACTCGGTCATAAACTCGTTCTCTGAAGTCGGTCGAGCGAGACCGAAGTCGCAGATCTTTAGATCGCAGTTCGCGTTCAGCAGAAGGTTGCTCGGCTTTAAGTCTCTGTGGATGACGTTAGCCGAGTGGATGTACTTGAGCCCTCGAAGAAGCTGGTACAAGAAGTACTGTTTCCATGACAATCAATCAAGAAGAATTATGTTAAGTTTCATGTTCTTTGGAAACCATTTAATAATTCTGTGCAAGCAAGAAATCAAGGACAGTTTTTACCTGACAATGTTCCTCTGATAAACTCTGGTTGGATCTGATGATTTGATGTAGATCAGTGTCCATTAGCTCAGTGGCAATATACACATCACTGAACTGTCTTCGAAGTGGTGGAGGAACCACATCTCTTATAGCTATAATCTGTTGAAATACCCAAATTAAGAAAACCCTAAATCATGATTCGTTCGTTAATCTAATTTCTGCAGATAGTTTCGAGAAAAATACTAACGTTTTCATGATCCAGATGACGGAGAAGCTTGATCTCGCGAAGTGTACGCTTTGCATCCATGTGGTTATCAAAGGCGTTCGCTATCTTCTTCATCGCAACCAGCTCGTTCGTCTCCGAATCCAACACAGAGCTTCACCAATCCAATAGCGAAAAATGAAGAAATCAGCAAAAAAAAAAAAAAAATCAAAAACTACGATCTCCAGAAATACGAAGAACAGACTTAAACCAAAAAGGGGGAAAAAGCGAACATACCAAACGATTCCGTAAGCGCCTCGACCGATTGGTATAATCGGAGGACGATACTTGGATGTGATCTCGAATAGACTACCGAAGATATCGTAACTTATAAATTGTCCTCCGTGCGTTTGCACCGCCGGAAAATCCGTGTATTGGCCGCCGGCGTTCATCTCTCTCTCTCTCTCTCTCGGATCAAAATCGATTGACGGTGAAGATCAAATCAAGTCAAGCTTCTTCACTTGTTGTTTGCTTTGAGGTTTTAGTGAATCTAAAGGTCTTCTTCTCGTATCGTTTATATAAGTATAAACAGTAGTCAGATGAGAGACTGAAACGAGGAGATAGATGAGTTTTTTCGCGGTAATTGCGAGGAAGAAGAAAGGGGGAAGAGGAAAACACAGAGAGATGAGGAGATCGTGTGGATGAGATTAGAGCCGCCTCATATCGACGGTTGTTGTTCGACTTTGACTTCGTCAACGGTCTTCCTCCCAACGTCCTTTCACAGTTCTTCTCTGCCATTGTTTTATTATTTTCTTTTGCTGTAAAGTGTTTTTGTTTTTACTATTTCTTAAAACATAAAGAACGTTTCGACCAAAAAAACATAAAGAACGTGGGTTTTTATTTAGAAGTATATGTAAACATGGGCGTTTAATCATTTGTGAATTATATATTTTGTTCTATTTGGGATCAAAATTGTTTTTATACGTGTGTATAAATAAATATATTGTTTTATATTCGTTGCGAAATTAGCATGTTTTCTTATTTTTTTGGTTGCCAACAACATACATTGTATATTGTTTATTACGTTATAATTTTCGATTATTTTTTGTCGAGATTATCGAAAACTATTTTGTTTTTCAATCTTTGGCATATCGAAACACTAATATCACGTGTGTGTTATAAGGATTAATCATTATTATATATCCTCATTACGTGTTTTAATTCACTACAAGTTTCTTTGTTTCTTTTTCTGAGAAAAATGTTAGAGAGATAAACTTTCTTCAGTAAGTTAGGCAGCATGATAATCGAGAAAGCATAGAAGTGTGAGAGAAAAATCTACTAATTACATTTATGTGCGATCTTCTTAGACTCAAGAGAAAGCATATACTAACTATATAATCAAAAATTAAAGTCTTCAGTGACGACAATGCTTTTATTTTTATTAGTTTATCTATTTTTATTTTGGTTAAAGACTTGGAAAAAATGTCACCAGCTTGTAGGAATTAGGATGCGAAAATATCTCTACATCATAGAGCTAATCTTCAAAACTCTTACATCTGTCATAAAGGAGGGCTTTAAACCCACACTTACCAACCAATTTGGTTGTTTTGTTGCTATAAATACGCCATATTTGTACGTAGAATAACGAGAACATGTGACCACAAAGAGTTGTAACTTGTAAGCATTTTGTTTGTTATGTTTGTCTTATTTATCGTAGTTACCAATCATTAATCCATTGATCAACAACTATAAACCAATTATAAACACACAACATATTCTAGATTAGATTATCTAATCATATGCTGTAGAGACCCTCGTGTCTGTTTTGAATCCAAATTCCACTAGACATTACTTTTCTTGATTCACCAGTTGCCTTCATCCACATTGAGCGATATGACAATTTCCACATTAAGCCTAAAAAGTGACTAAAACAAATAACTAATTGATGCAGCGTGATATTTGGAATATTTTCAAATATCTTAAATATTTTTATTATTTACTTATTTGTGTATTTAGATAATTATTACTTATTATTTAGAGTTATCTAGAATATTCTATGGTTTTTATGATCTATTATAAATAAGTTGTTTATGCCTCATATTGTATTCAGACTTTGATAAATTAATAAAAAGGATTCCATAAAAGAGGTTTTGATAAACCACTGTGAAGAGTATTCACAAACCCTAGTTTCCAGGTATTCTCAGAATCAACGGATCTAGTTCTATCCGTAGTAGCTTCCGCTCCATCAGTTGGTATCAGAGATGCGTCTCTTTGATTTCTTAATCGAAGAACGATTATGGATCATGGTGAGTAGTTGCATCTACACTTTCGAGGACGAAAGTCCTTTTGTCGAGAGAGAAGAGAGCCAAAAGATTTATAGAGAAATCTATGGTGATCCGATCTACGACGTCTATGAAGATGATGTTCGTGTTATGGACTTTATCTTCAAAAAAGGTTCCTTTGAGAATCTGATGCGTACAAATTTCGTGCACAGTCATAATGGAATAAGTTTCGTGCAAAATCTGGTTGGTGCGAAACTCGTGCATGATCAGATTCGTGCGAAAAACGTGCAGATTCAGATCCGTGCAAAGTTCGAGCAGAATCGAAGATCTTCAAGGTCCCAAGAGAAGCAGATCTGTGATGAGTTCGGTTCGTGCAAAATCGGTGCGGATTCGGTTTGTGCAAATTTCGTACAAAATCCGGTTTGTACAAAAATCGTGTACTATCAACAAGAAGACATTAAACCGATGTGGAAAAACCAGTTGAAGATTCAAGGACGAATCTTTCTTGGCCGGCGAGACCTGATGCAACGTGATATTTGGAATATATTCAAATATCTTAAATATCTTTATTATTTACTTATTTGTGTATTTAGATAATTATTAATTATTATTTAGAGATATCTAGAATATTCTAGGGTTTTTATGATCTATTATAAATAAGCCGTTTAGGCCTCATATTGTATTCAGACTTTGATAAATTAATAAAAAAGATTCCCTAAAAGAGGTTTTGATAAACCACTGTGAAGAGTATTCACAAACGCTAGTTTCCGGGTATTCTCAGAATCAACGGATCTAGTTCTATCCATAGTAGCTTCCGCTCCATCACTAATTAACGTCAAGCCATACCTACAACTTGTTTATTCCCATCTTGCTTGAGGAATTCTGTAAAACCTAATAACACAAATTAAACCATATGTGGTTATGTTATAACCAATTTTATCCTGGCAAAATTATTGAACCAATACCAAACCGAAATTCATCAATAATCTGAATTATTTATTATTTAATTATACTTGAACATGGTGTCTCAAGTACACTAGGTTACTACATGCACGTTTGTGCAGGAGAATGTTTGTAAAAATATTTAAGAGATATTTTATAGTTTATTAAATTTTAAAACATATCTGGGTATCTAAAAATGTTCAGTCGAAATTTGAAAAAAAAAATAATTATTTTTGTTTTAATTTAAACTTATACAAAGCTAGATTCACATTTACTTTTTTCCGAGGTTTCAAAAAATAATATTCTTTTTTCCGTTTGTATACTATATGAATCAAAGCTGTTGCAAAACAATAAATACTCGTAGATCTAAATAATTTTTATTTTCGTTAATAAAATTGGTAACTAATTTAATTTACTAAACCAATAAAATTATCAAATTATTTATGATTGGTTTGATTTAAATTTGATTTTATTTAAGTAATTTAAAATAAAGTGTTTGGTAATAAGGATAGTACACAAAAATAAATCAATAAAAATATTAGAAAAAGGAGGTAATGACACATAAACTAATGTTTCCTGTTTAATATATGTTAGATATTTTAAAAAAAAAAAACGAAGATCCACTTAGATTTTCTATCATATTTTTTTAAATCGAATTGTTTCAATTATATACAAAAACTTAAATATTAATTGCAAATTTTTAATATATTAAATGCAATTAAAAAAATAATTAGAAAAGTTTTGTTTGGTTGCAAAAATATTGTGTTTGGTTACAATAATAAATTATTTAAGTTTTTAACTATTATTAAGATTTAAAAAATTTAAAATTCTGAGATAATGACACATAAACCACTAATGCTTCATGTTTAATATATGTTAGATATTCATAATCTCCTCATGAGATTTATTCATCATACATCGATTAAATACATGCATGCTAAATATTAATCATTATGATTTTTTTTTTCCAACAAGCAACTATTGATTATATTAATTTAGATTAATGGTTACGTTTTCCGAAGATTATATTTCCATCAACTGAATCTGACTTATATAGGAAAATATACATCCTCGTGTTCTTATCCTTTTAGCAAGGTCATCAATACAGACATTTTAACTACAAGAGATAAAACAAATAAAACATTCCTCGAAAAATGTCCTAAGCAAGAATAGAATATCTAACTCCGATCTAAAAGCAGACCAGTCCACGGGTCCTCTGTCATATGGATCAAATCTATGCAAATTGTCTTGATGCGAACTCTACAGAGCTGTATATATTTTAGACATATCATTACTTAAAGAAGCCCATCAAGTTCCGCATGTAGAGCCGACAGATTTCTTCTACATCCTTATTGTCAGTTGGTGATAAATCTCATTGTGTCTGTCAAGTATCACCCAAACCACTGACCGGTCCATGATCGATCCAAAATGCATCAATCTGGCATGTCGGGATTTGAGGGACCACTAGAAGTTCGTCCAGGGTTTGTATATTTCACCTCCCCTCATTCTCCTCTTCCATCTCTTTTTCATTCGCTTTTCGCCAGCTTTCCGCTTCTGTGAAGGCATGTTAAAGGGTATTCATGGGTGAGACGACCTTCCTATTGAAAACCTTATCATTTATAGCCTTCCAAGTGAACCAAATAATCCATTGAAATAAATCCCTCTGGGGGCAGGGAACTCCCTTTCCTTAAGCCTAATCTGAATGGTGACCGTGTATTGTGCGGTATTAAAAATGCGGATTTAAAAAGCGGTGCGGTTAAACTGCGAGACATGCATTATGCAGTGCGATTAATGTAAAAAGTGCAGTGCAAAATAATTTTTGATTGGCGATAAAACAGTTGGTGATTCAAAATAATTTTTAATTAGTGAAAATATTAACAAGCAGTGCAGCATTTTAAAAAAAAAAGTAAATATGAATATAAAAATAGTATTATTATCATTGAAAATTATGGAAGCTCTTTTCTCTCCTAGACACGCGGATCGAGGCAGCCGCTCTCCGGGAAAATGAGCTGTAGCCACCAATGTTCAAGTCCCGATTCCCTCTCGTTCTAATCGGTGTTGCTCCCTGCATCTCCGGAAAGGCTTCGGTTACTGTCCTTTCGCCGGTGCTTGATATCCCTTGTATTTACACCATTTAGGATTGTATTTAGTATATGTTTTGGTTCTCTTTTGCATGTTTTTCCTTAGTTTTTGCCCAATTTTCTTCTCCTTTTAGACTTAGGTTGTAT